GGCTTTTTTTTTTTTTCCTGTGCCTCCGCTTCCCTCTGTAGCTCTGGGGAGGCTGCGGGGGAGACGGGAGTCTGAAAAGACAGGCGCAGGCGCTTCCGCAGCGCAAGGCCCAGGTAAGAGGTGCAGAAGTCCCAGACGGAGGAGGGACGTCACGGGGCGGCGAAGCCGAGGCCGTGCATTTTCTGGCCTTCAAAGCTCTGATCAAAAACAGCTGGGAAGAGGAGAATATGGTGGAGGCGGGGGAGGGTCATTGGAAGAGCAACAGCCCTGTCTCAGGTGGAATCAACTGAGCCCAGGCCTCTTCCTCACAATTCGTCATCTCGGGGGTGCTTGGTGGGGACGCGCCTGGATGCAAGCTGGGAAGTCCGCAAACTGTCAGAGACTTGTATTTCTTTTAATCCATTCTAAATCAGTTACTTAGAGCTGAGGACATTGGGGTCTGTGCAAGGGGTTGAGCACACAGGGAATTTGGCTGGGTCAGCCAGCTGCCTCTTAGGGAGACATGGATGACGGAGGGTCTCCCCTCCCCCATCCCTGGGCAGGGCCTGGCCATCACCAAATCTGTTTCCTGGTTTATTCCGCCCTGAGAACCTCAGAGGGTTGCCAAAAGGGCCAGCACAGAAAACAGATGGAGTGTTCGGCCACATCGTGGTATTCAGATATGGTGGGGTTTGGGGGGGTCATTTTCTTTCTCTGAGTTCCTGAGGAGACCATCTCCTTTCTTTCCTTCCTCCTACCCCCCTTCCAAGTCACTGAAAGCTGCCACGAAGAAGGGTAGAATTATTACTGGTAAGAAACCTGGATTGTGGCTGGGTCTTGTGACTCAGGTTGGAAGTCCATGGTGTTGACTTCCAAGGAAAATCACAGAATTCCCAACAGCTGGGGACGGTGGTTTCAACTGAAATTTACAGACCTCCAATCTGTTATATCCTGGGACTCATTTCCAGTTGTGGTTTCAGCATTTCCACATATCCGTGAGACAGGGGCTGCAATCTATTTTGGGGTGGAGCACACAGATAAAAGAATTTTAAACCCTGTCTGCAAAGCAAGCACTCTGGTTTTACTTGAGTGCAGGCGTGCACATTTGGGGTGTCTTTTGGAAATCAGTGGTGATTACAGGGTGCAAAAGTCCGGGATGCTTGCACTATCAGTTGCTCTTAGAGGTAGAAGATAAATATGTGATGATGGTTGTTAAGGGGCAAGATTGATGATGTGGCATGAACATTACACTGGGGGTTTGCAAGCCTGGGATGGAATCCTGTCATCTCCAAATAGCTGATTTCTAATTGTAAGATAAGGTTAGTAGGAAACAGATTCTCTGAAGATTCCTTTCTTAATCTGCTCTCTTTCCTCTAATGTGTTAGCATAGAAATCTTGCAAGGAAGACAAAAAGTGCTAACTCATCTCATCATTTCTCTGTTACTTCTCATTTCTCTGTTGTTCATTTGCTTTTCAAAGGGCACTGAGAGAACAAGAATCTGGAAGCACTTCTTTCCAGGGTTCTTTTCTAAATCCAGCAAGGACCAAGAAAGACAGGGGATTAGGAGTTATGAGGGTAAGAATTCATGTTTGTTGCATATCCCAATCTCCAGGCTGCCACGTGCTTTATATAGACTACTTTAATGCAAACAATTTTATCGTGGCATTTCTGAGTTTCAGTAAGATTGAGTAGGATATTAACAGCTAAAAAAAAAAAAGGCCTTTTCCATAGTAGATGCTTAATAAATGTCTGTTTACTGAATAAATAGACTTCAGAGACAGGGTTGGGACCCAGGTTTAATTCAGCTACATAATTTCCACGCTTAGCCTCAAACACAACTTGGAGATGAAGGTAGTCATTGGCCATCAAATGCTGTACTTCCGGTAAGCTTTGTCCAAAACGATGGCACTCAGGAGAAACTCTTAATTTTTATTTCTTTTAATTTTCATTTTATTTGAAAGGCAGAAAGACACAAAACAAAGACAGAGGACTAAAGTTGACAGAGACAGGCAGAGAGAGAGATTCCATCCACTGTTTCACTCCCCAAAAGCCTGCCACATCCAAGGTTGGGCCAGGCCAAAGCCAGGAGCCCAGAACTCTGTTCAGGTCTCCCATATGGGTGACAGGGATCCAAGTACTTATGCATCACCTTCTGCCTCCCAGGTTGCGCCTTAGCAGGAAGCTGGATTCGAAATGGAGTAACAAGGACTTGAATCAAGGAATTTCAATATGGGATGCTGGTGACCCAATTGGCAGCCTAACCACTGTGCCAAATACATGCATACCACACACCAACTAGCCAGCAGTGACGTGGTGCCCTCACTGTACTGATGAAGCATTTGGAAAAGCACGCTGGCTTATTTGAACCATGGAAAATTTTTAAAAACTAGTATTTTGTGATATTCCCATTTGCAAGAAATAGAAGCCTACTCAAACTAGCCTCCCAAAAATGTGGGGTGGGGAGAGTAATTATCATGCTAGACATGGTATTGACTCCAAGGAAAATGAACAATTAGACATCAGGAAGAGCAAGAATCAGGGAATTCCAAGGGCTTTGCTCACCTACCATTTACCCTTCCACTGGCTTATTTAATCCTCTGTGCTGTTTGGGGGAGTACGTTACAAAAATACAGTGTGTATGAGAATCACCTAAAAATCTTGTGCACACCAGGATTCTGATTCCAGGATCTGGGGTGCACCAAGTGTCTGCCTTTCTGACATCCCAGGTGGTACTGATGCTGCTGCTTCTATGGCCCAATGCTTGCAGTAGCAAGGACTGAGATCCCACAGTACAAGCTGCAACTGGAATCACCTGGGGATATGTTTCATCTACCAAGGCCGGGTTCCACCCTCCCCTGAAGACTGATCCATTTGGTTTGAAGTATGACCTAAGAATCAGGGGTCTATCAGTTTCCCCCGGGTGATTCTAACGAGCAGCAAAGCTTGAGAGCCATCACTTGGGATCGAGTTCTCAGCCAACTTGATGGAATGGCTCTTGGGGGGTTAGATGTTCCTCCTGGTCCAGACAGCTATGGCAGGAGATGGTGGAGCTCTCCAGTGTGATGGGCATTTCAGCCACACTCAGAACTATATAGGACAGGTGTGCAAGCAGGAAAGGGGAGTGGGCAAAGGTAGGCAAAAATCATCACATCTGCAACAGTAAAGGACTGAGCTAAACACACTTGGGTTCAAATCCCGGCATTAACATTTCTTAGTTGTAGCCTGTGCACCAGAAATTCTGACTTTGGAACTCTTTGAGTTTTCATTTTTTTAAATTAAAAGGTGAAGGCTAGGGGCTGGTGTTGTGGTCTAATGGGTTAAGCCACCCTGTGCAGTGCCAGCATTCCATATGGGCATTGGTTCGAGTCCCAGCTGCTCCACTTCCAATCCCACTCCCTGCCAATGGCCTGGGAAAGCAGTGGAAGATGGCTCAAGCATTTGAGCCCCTGCACCTATGTGGAAAACTTGGAAGAAGCTCCTGACTCCTGGCTTCAGCCTGGCCTGGCTCCGACCATGCCGCCATTTGGCAATTGAACCAGAAGATAGAAGATCTCTTTCTGTGTAACTATGACTTTCAAAATAAATAAATAAATATTTTAAAAGAAAGAAAAGTGAAGGCTACAGTTCCTGACTCACATCTGTCACCACTGATGGTGGCAGAGGGGGATGAGGGGTACAGAATAGAATAAATGGAGAGAAATTTCTACAGGAAACAGGCTGGTATTCCACACCCAAGGCTACAAGTCCAGCAAGTCTCAGAGTGATACCAGGTGTGGGTGTGTTCACCAAGTCCTTACATGTTCCCTACGTGCATCCCAGATTATGAACATGGACCAACTGAGATCATGTAAATTGAACCTTCTAACTGTCCTTGAGTCCTGCTACTAAACTGTCTATTCAACCTCCCTCTATAGCTCTTGAATATAACCATCCATCTCATTCTAGAGCCTTTTTCAGATACCAGTGAAGAACCCCTCACTTTTACACTTTCTCTGATTCCTGGCAATCCATCTTCCATGTAACTACCAATATAATCTTAATACCATGGGAGTCTGCTTAGGTTACTCTGGTCAGGATAAAGTCCAGAGAAAATCATGCAAGGACATTCCTGGCCTTGCCATATATTTTCTGCCACTCCTGACCTCAGACCTGATGCTGCAACCATACCGTTGCCCACAGGAGTATTCTGTTCTCTCTTGCCTCTGTGCTGCTACCTGGAGTGTCCCTCCTCATCTTGTCCTATTCAGTTCCTGCTTATCTTCAGCTCAAGCATCACCTTCCTTGGGGAATCTAGACCCACCCTGCTTCTCATCAGTTTCAGGGAGGCTTGGGGACAGTTCTGTTTCATGTGCTTTAAGGCATATTTCAAAAGATAAATGACCAACAGAGTACCTGAGTTCAAGTCCTGGTTCTGAGTCTAGCCTCTTAAAGTGGAACCCTGGGGGGCAGCAGGTGATGGCTCAAGTACTTAGTCTCTGCCACCCGCGGGGGAGGCTCCATTCGTGGCTCCTGGCTCAGCTCTTTCCATCCCTGCAACCCCAGTATCTCAGTGCCTTAATACAGAGAAGTGTTTATTCTTCCCCAAGAAACAGTTCAATGATTCAGGGTCCCAAGTCCCTTCCTCCTGAGTTCTCTTGAGTCAACTTTCCTAGGAGACAGAAGGAGGAGATGAGAGGCAGTCACATGGCAACGCTGTGGGGCATCATGGAGGGCACCGTGGTCACTTCTTGTCTTCCACAGGAGGGCATGCAGGTGAATGGCCACACTAAATGCAAGGGAGGCTGGAAGGGGTGGTACAGTTTGTCCAGAGGAAGTGGAATGGGCTTGCAAATTGCTGACCTGTTCTCTACCCCTGTGAAACTCTGGAGCCAGGCTTGGGTCTTGATTTCAATTCTAGTTGTTAAATACCCATAAGGCCCTTTTCCATCTGTAAAACCCATCTTACAGTATGAAGATTAAATGAACATTGGAGGTTCAGAGTCTAGGACTCAGTAAGTGCTAGTTCTTGTATCATCTCCAGGCATTGTACCAGGCTTTGCAGGATGAAAAGAAGTCAGACACAGTGTTTTGGACTCACATCCTCATGGACTCAAAGCCAAGAGGCAGAGGATCCTCGTGCTCATCACCTTCTTCAATCACTTTTCCTTCCCAAAAGGTCCTTTTGATGGTCACCAAGGAGCCGCCTCTTGACCATGAAGGCAATATTTCAGTAACCATCACCCAGGTCTTTTCTAAATATGCCCAAAGAGATGTGCAAGGCGAGGATTTTCAAAGAGGAAACTGAATTCCTATGTTCTGAAGAGAGGGGTTTGGCGTTTGGGTGGTTTGTCGCACTATTTTGTGAATGGAAGGGCTGTCACATGAGCAGCATATGATGAGCCTCCCAGAGCCAGGGCTTGTGTGACTGGCAATGGACACAGCTTGGCCTCCTATTAGTTCCTGCCAACTTGGAGTCCACATGCCCTCAGGGTCCTAGAGGGGCAGCCAGTCATTCCCTCAAAGAGTTGAAGACACCAAAAGTCAGCTGTTCCAATGGAGTTGTAAGTTAAGGTCACTGGACCTATATTCCTCTGAGAAAGGGTGAGAAGAGAGCTGACCCCTACCTTCTAACTGCTCAGTCTCGACTCTAAGGGGCCACAAGCACCTCTGATCCATCTGATGTCACTGACCCCATGTGCGAGGCTGGAGCTAGAAGTCCATGATCTGTTAGGGATGTCAGTCTAAGAAACAGGTCACTGTTAGAAGGCTACCTATTCCCTCCACTCCAGCCACCCTGCGCCTTCCTGTGAGCAGGGAAATTATTTATTGCCCTCTTTGAAGAATCAGATGATCTCAAATATTGAACTGGAAGTCACTTCAAAAAGTTCATGGAAAATGGAATTGAAAGATAAGCTTATTCTGTTGCAGTTTTTTTTTTAAAAAGATTCATATTTATTTATTTATTTAAAAGGCAAAGAGAGAGAGAGAGAGAGGAACCTGCCACCTGCTGGTTCCATCCCCAATGGCTGGAGCTAGGCCAGTCTAAAGTCAGGGGCCAGGAGCTTTTTCCAGGTCTCCCATGTGGGTGCAGGGGCCCAAGCACTTGGGCCATCTTCTGCAGCTTTCCCAGGGCATTAGCAGGGAGGGATATCGGAAGTGGAGCAGCCAGGACTTGAACCAGCACCCATATAGGTGCTAGCATGGCAGGTGGTGGCTTTACCTGCTATGCCACAGTGCCAGCCCCAGCAGAAATTTCTGAAAAGCACACATGGGTTTTTTTCAGAATATGCATGATCTGTGAACTTTCTGAAGTACCCTCCCACATCGTACTTTCCTGGCCCCATGGCAGCTGTTTACTGGGAGCCGGTGCTATGCCATTTGTTGCATCGTTAGTTCTCCTCACAGCCCTCAGAGATAGGGATCAGACCTTCACTTGTCAGATGAGATTTAGGTAGAAGAAAAAAGTTTAGTAGGTGTTCAAGGTCACACACCTGCTAGGTGACAGATGTGAATCCAGAACTGTGCGACTCCTTGCCACAGAGCCCCCTTCTCAACATTCCAGAGATGCTGAGCCCCTTGGCCTCGGCCGCAGCCCACGCACTACCAGTGTTGAGCTCTGCTGGGCTGGGCACCGCTGCGCTACCTTGCTCCATCTGGCACCACAGGTTCCTTTCAGGGAGGAAACAAAAGCTATGGGTCTGCTCTACAGAAAAAATACACGCAAATACCTACACATTGGTACGTAAGACATTTCAGGTAATTCAGTAACTACAGAAGTCTTAAGACTACTACCTGGGCCGGCGCCGCTGCTCACTAGGCTAATCCCCCGCCTTGCGGCGCCGGCACACCGGGTTCTAGTCCCGGTTGGGGCGCCGGATTCTGTCCCGGTTGCCCCTCTTCCAGGCCAGCTCTCTGCTGTGGCCAGGGAGTGCAGTGGAGGATGGCCCAGGTGCTTGGGCCCTGCACCCCATGGGAGACCAGGATAAGTACCTGGCTCTTGCCATCGGATCAGCACAGTGCGCCGGCCGCGGCGGCCATTGGAGGGTGAACCAACGGCAAAGGAAGACCTTTCTCTCTGTCTCTCTCTCGCTGTCAACTCTGCCTGTCAAAAAAAAAAAGAAAAGAAAAAGAAAAAAGAAAGACAGACTACTACCTGCATCTCCCAAGGGCCAAGAGCTCAAATTAAGAGCCTAGTCTATTAACCCTTGCCTCCACTTACTTGGACACTCATGGGAATTAGCTGGGGCATTTTAAAAATTCAGATTTCTGGGCTGCCTCAGAATCCCTGGATCTGTGCTGTAATATGTTCCCCAGTGAATTTTATATATCTCTAACAAGTAAGTAGTCTGTGACTGGTTTTGGGGAACCACCCTCCTAGCTGATGCTCAATTGACTGGGATTGATCTCTATCTATGTAACATTATCTATCTATGTAACATTAGATAGACTTAACCTCCCTTTCAATTTTCTCCTCTGTGAAACGGGGATAACAGTTGTCTCAACCTAATTGGATTAATATGGGATTCAATATGCCATCCAAGCATTTAGTAGTGTCTGGCACAGAAGTGCTCAATAAATGTTCAATAACATCACCTGTGCCATCTCGGTAGATGGCCTCTTGGTTATCAAGGTGTGAACAGAATCCAATTGCTAGTTGGCTCAACAAACATGCATGAAAGAAAGGAAGAAATGCAAAGTTTATTAAACATTAAGAACAACAGAAAGGTCTGGACTTAACAGCATCAGTACCACCAGTACCACGGTGTACAAGTAAACTAACCTCATGCGAACTTCTACCTGTTTAACAGATGCAATCACTGTGGTATTGCTCAAAGGATAATGTAGCATTGTTATATTTGGTAAGGTGCTCAAAAAGCAAATACTTTATGTTTTAAATTTACACACACACACACACACTCGTACATATACTTGGCTCCCATAAAATATATTGACTCTAGTTGCTAAATCCAGTTTATCAAGAACTAGGGCGAGGCTTTGCTCATTTGTAAACTGACATTATTAATTGCTGAGAACCTGGGAGGGATGCTGGCCTCGACGGTGGAGGGTACCCAGAAGCCCTCAGCAGGAAGAGGACTGCGAGCAGATGTCTGCCACACGGAGATCGGAACACCTGCTCTCAGTCACCTGCCCAGGACTGAGCCCAGTGGTAAACCCAGAACTCCACACACGGGCGAGCAGAACAAGTCTGCCTGCCTTGGGATTGTGCCACTTAACTCTGATAAAACTTGAGTTTTCTTAAAAGGATCATTAGGTGGGAAATTAGGTGAACTATGAGAAAGAACACATTTTAATTGCATTTTACAGAATGTTTTACCCTGAAGCTGTGGGAGAGTGCCACTTCAACTCTCAGTTCTCCTGAAAACAGCCCATAGAGCATCTGCATGTCCAGTGTGAGTCCCCACACGACACTGCTGGGCTAGGAGGAACCCCAGGGTTGTATAACACAGCCACCCCCCGCCACACCTGCATCCCAGTCTACACTCTCCCGACAGAGTGTTCTCCTACACGCAGGATGTTCTGTGGAAGGCCTGCAGTACACAAACACAACAGCCCTCCCGTAATCCTCCTGATGCGGCTTTTGAATGGTCCAGCGTGGCCTCTTTCTCAAGGGGAAGTGACCCTTGATAGCCCCGCCATCCACTACCTAGCTCCTCAAGGCAGTATGAGCAGTATTCCAAATCACGTCCAAATGTTCCTGCCACATGACTTGGAATCACTTTAATGGCCAAGTAATCAAAGAATGAAAGATGCTTAGGATGAAATGGTGACAAATGACAGGGCTCTCAGAACAGCTGCAGTCTGCAGGCATCCATTTGACCTGGGTTAATCCTGGCTTCCCACTCCACTTGGCAGAACTGCCTTGTTTGTTAACTGCCCCTGCAAGACGTGCACCCAGCCCAGGAATGTGTGTGTGTGTCTGTGTGTGTGTGCTGACAAAGTCCCACATAAAAGGCATCCGTACAGACTACAGGATGTTTAAATTTTTAGGAGGAGGTAGATTTCTGAAACCTCTCCCGGCACACAGAAGGACAAGTTTTATGGTCATCTTTTTATTTCCTGCAGAACACGTTTGTGATGTTCATTTGACACAAACAGCCTAGTTGTGAGAAAGCCCAGTTCTCAGAGTTTTTCAGCCATCATTTGATACTTCCACAAGCGTGGGTGGTCTCTGGTGCAATGTGTCAACACTTCTCTGCTTAAAGATACCATCAGCTTTGCTTTAATGACCACTGCCATTTACCAATTTTGCAGTTGGCCCCTCACCTGTAAAGGGCCAACTCAAGGTCCATTGGCATCTCTCACTGAATTATCTTTCAGGTCTGCTGACGACTGGCAAAGATTTTTTGCTGGTTTTGCTAGTTATCAATCTGAACAGTGTATTCCAATTCCAATCCTCTCCCATCTCTCGCCATTACCTGGAGCTTGAGCACAGTGGGTATCTACTTGGAATATCCTACTAGTGGGGTCTGCCAAAGCTGTGACACCATGAGAGAAGCTGAGCTCATGCATCCACAAGGAGACCACCAGTTCATCAAACAGTAAAGAAACTCCGGAGGCAGGAAACTAGAAAATTCCATGGATAAAAGAGTATTTTAATCTAGCACAAAATGTTTCTTTGCAGTAACAGCAGAATCTCTTGACATTGTACAACTTAATGAAACAAAAGAACAATCGTCTTTAAAGTCAGAACATCTATCAAATTATAGGCCGTACGCGTAGCACCGAGATCGCCTTTATACTGCATAAGACACACAGGCCCCAGAGGGGAACAGAGCCGTCTGGGGGCACAGGCAGGAACGCTCCATTCCAGGAACTCTGAATTTTGAAGTGAACATTTTTGTGGCAGATGCTTTTCCTAAAAAACACTGTATCATCCAATAAATATTTGACTAAAATCCATTTTGTGCTTTTGGGTGATGTTAGCTGACTTCTTCCTGAGACCTCGTAAGAAAGAAGAAAGCTCCTTGTGTCTTTCAGAGCACGATTCATCACGGCAAGCCTTGATACTGTCATAAAAATTTTAATTTAAAGCAGAAAACATGCTGATGTGTCAGTGATAGGCTTAAAATATTAAAGACTTCAAAAACCCCCAAGCACGTCTTCTCTGTACAACACGGGTGAATATATATCTTTGCTATATAATTTTAAAACATGGAATAGTTTTCCTTTTCTCTTTTCTATATATAATATATGTCTTCCAAAATACATTGTCAGTATTTATATCTGAAAAATACTGTACAAAAAAAGAACTTCCTATAGTTACTCTGTATAAACATTAAACAATTTAATAATCTCCTTTTGGTCTACAGTAAACACTTAGATTGATTGGATTAACCACAGTTTGTGACAATGCCATCCCCTTGTGAGATACACCAGTGTCTTTTACATTCGTTTTCAGAAGTCTACTTTATAAGAGCACATACGTTCAAAAGCAAACAGAGTAAGAAACATAAGCTCTAGAATAATTAATTTATGAGGCATTCAAAAATGACACCATGAGGAAAAAGGGCCTTACAAAACATCAACTTATTAACTTAACTGATTTTTTTAAAAACAGCAAAGTATAATTCACAAAAATATATTACAAAAAAATGGGAAAACTCAATCTTAAGTCATTGAATTGCTTGGAATATCAAGAGGGCTATGGACAAAGTGAACTAGAGAAGTAGGAGGTGGGCGGGGTTTGGGAGAGGGGAGAGAAGAAAACCAAACACGACGGCAAAGGCTGGTCCATGGCTCGTGGACTGAGAAATTAACCCCTCATTCTTAGACCTCCCATCTCCCTCTGCTTCCCTGTCCTGGGGATGTTCTGGTCATGCGCAAATGCATTCCTTTTTGTTTTTAAAAGACAGTGAGATCCTTAGGTAGGGAAAACATCCTACGTCCACTAGTGAGACTCAGGCAGCATGCTCTAGTGCACAGCAGGATTATTGCTTTAGTACAGACAGTGCAGAGACACCCTGTGTTCTAGAATAGTACTCTTACTTAGGCGGGGCTGGTAGAATTAAAAGGAAACTTATTAGATAGCAGTAAGTAAATACGGGATCTAAGAACTCTAAACAGCACTTTCAATTTGAAGACAATTACCACCAAAACGGAAAATACGAGGAAAGCAACCTGTGAGTGCACAGAGCTGCGTGTAGTGCTGGGGAAGGTATCTGGGGCACCCTGTGAGCAGGGTCACTTCCAGGTGACAGGAACAGGAGCTGGAACTCTTGACAACTGAGATCCACTACTTCACCAGGGCCCCTCGCAGGGAGTCCTAGCACAGGGTCCTGCAGGAGTGGGGAAGCTGCAACACCAAGCCACACAGAAAGGGCAGGAGCCGGGAAGACGGGAAGGGGAGGTGGATCCCCGAGGGGGCTCCAGAGTCGAGTAAAAACATGGCACCTTCCTTTTGTTGGAACTAAAAGAGAATGAGAGGGCTACCTAAAAATGGCAAGTGCAAAGGGGACACACACACACATACACTCGCACGCACGCACACACGCAAGCACACACCCTGTGGGCCACACACACGAGCACAAGCATGTGTACGCGTACACTCACACACACATGATGCACACAATGTGAGTCAGTTGTGTTTATGCCTCTGGTAAAGTGCTGATGTCAGAAAGGTCGGTTTGGGTGTGGAGCTATCAGACAGGAAACAAACTGTCCATCCATTCCAAAGCAAAGCCCGCAAGAATGCCATCCTACAGGGGCCCGTGCCTAGCCTCATACTTGGCAAGTATGTTCTTGCATTTGCCCAGCTCCTTCCTCAAGTCAGCCACCTCCTGGCGGAGGGCCGAGTTCTCCTTCTCCAGGAACGAGGCCCGGATGGCAATCTGATTCTCCTTCAGCCGCCGGGCGTCGCGGGAGCGCTTGGCCGCCATGTTGTTCTTTCTGCGCCTTGCCCAGTACTTGTCATCCTGCTCGTTAGTTACAGAAGGGAAAACACAAGGTATTAGATTTCAGCAACACGGAGCTTCAGCCAGGGCGCGCTGGCAGCCTTCAGGGTTGTACCGAGGCCCCGACCCGGGCTTCCCGTGCGTCTCAGAGGCTGGCCCGCGAGCCACGGCTTCCTCGCGGGGCAGGCCCCGACCCGTCATCACAGCTCCCTACTCGCTCTGCTCCACGGGGACTGTGTCCAGTGAGGTAGCGATCAGGGGCTGAATGAAAGCAAGGGGCTTGGCTCTCACCCTAAGTTGCATGCCAACATTCTCCACTCGCTTCGCTGCCGTTTTTATTTGAAGAGCACTTTTATTCCCCGAGCGCTCATATGCTTTTTGGGTATAACTTGGCGCAATATTTTTGGAAGGCAATGTGGCCCATCAGCTATTTAAATGCATATACTATTGATCTAGGAACACTACTTCTAGGATTTCATCCCATAGCAATTTTGCTCACGTGCATATAGACACAAGAACATTTTTTTTTTTTTACTGCGGCATTGGTTGTAACAGAAAAATGTAATAAAAACTATTTCCCTGTAGGAGATTTCATAACTGTATTGTATTAGAGTCATACACGGGGATACTCTGCAGCTGCTCAAAACAGTGTCCCCGTTGCACCAGAAATATATTCAAGCTATATCATTATGTGGGTGAGAACAATGACATTTCACAGATAAATATGTACGGTCTCATCCCAATTTGATTTAAAAATCATCATATCAGGGCCTGGCGCTGTGGCATAGTGGGTAAGGCTGCTGGCTGTGATGCTGGCATCCCAGATGGGCGCCAGTTCGAGTCCCGGCTGCTACACTTCCCATCCAGCTCCCTACTAATGCACCAGGGGAAGGCAGCAAAGGATGACCCAAGTGCTTGGGCTCCTGCACCCATGTGGGAGACCTAGAGGAAGCTCCTGGCTCCTGGCTTCAGCTCGGCCCAGCCCTGGGCCATTCTGGCCATCTGGGGAGTGAACCAGCGGAGGGAAGATCTTGCTGTCTCTCCCTTTGTCTCTCTCTGTAACTCGGCCTTTCAAATAAATAAAAAAAATCTTTTAAAAAAGTCATAATATCATAGATTTGTACAATGGAGCCCAAAAGGATTTATACTAAGTTATAAAAGTGGTGCCATTATAAGGAGTATTACAGGAAAGAAGCAGATAAAACTAGTAGCATTTTCACCTTTTATTTTATACCTTCCTGAACTATTAGAATATTATATAATGTGTATGGACACTTTGGTCACTAAAGGGAAAAGACCCTCAGTCGGCTACTCATCAATGTACCCATATTGCTGGCCAGCATTTAAGTCATTTACTCTAAATTTTGTTTCACTGGATTTCAGGCCTTAATGTGAATAATGTGAAAACTATCCCTCCTTCTCCCCCCATCGCCGCCCTTCCTAACAAAAGAAGATGGCTTCCTGGGAAGACGAAGGCACCAGAACCCCCTCCTGGACTTTCCCAGTTCATTGCTGGTGCCACCTGATGAATTCTGCAATACTCTTTTGACAACAACCTGTAAAAGCAGACCTCAAGTCTCCGCAAAGCTGATGTCTGTGCAGTTCACACCTCCCTCCCAGAAGAGAGGGTGAGGCCAGGCCTTACCCCACCCCCACCCCGAGGAGTCCAGGGGGCAGTGGCACTGAAGGTCACGTGGTCTGGGCCCAGTGTTCAGCCCCCCGACCTGCCCGTTACTCTCCGCAGACATCTGCCTTGCACAGTCACGGAACATGCGAGATGGAAAGTGCGAGCAGGCACCTCCCGAGTGCTCTCTGCAAGCAGAAACTGCCGTCTTACTCAGAGCGCACCCAGCCTTCTACACATTTCAGAACAATATATAGCAGGGCAAAAAGCATCCCCAGAGTAGCTGCTCCCATGAAGCTTCTTAGGAAAGATGTGATCCTTGAAGGAATGGCACAATGAGCAAACTTGGGCAGATGTACAATTTGCTGGCTGTGTTTCTGAAGAGGAGGAGCAGGAAGGGAGAAAGGCTGGGAGGGATCTGGGGGGTCGGTGACGTCACTGTGAGGAGGGGCCCCTGAGACACACATCACAAGAGTGAGGTGCCAGTCCTGATGTAAGTCGGTGGTTGTACTTTGATGTGGGTTCTGGTGCCACCCACTTCATAGTGTCAGTAAGTCGACCACACTCTCCTTGCTGGGTGTGCTTTCCAAGCACACTCCAAGAAGGGCTCGCTTAGGGTGGACCAGGAGCTGCACACAGGGAACAGGAGCCCGGGAGCTAAAGGAACACCCGAGAACAAGCCCCTGGGAAACCGGAAACTGCATGTGTGTGCCGGGGGCGGGCGGAGGGTCCGGCCATGGACCTAAACTCAGAGGTCTGTGCCAGCACTCACCGGGTTTATAAGGACCAGGGAGTCAGCAAGTGATTTACGGGTTGCAACCACTTGTCCCTGACTTAGAGCTCATCTCACATCTTCTGTGCTCTCATCTCCCAGCCTCACCCCGTCCACAGGTGCGGAGGAGCCAACCAAGGTGTGAAATGCCGCATGAACCTGGCAGGTGGGAGTGGAGTCAGGAGCAGCGGTGGATCGAGGGATAACACAGGAGGACCAAAGAGGGAGTGTCCTGGCCCAGAAACACCAGCTCACCTTCCTTTATCATCACACAGTGGCTTTGGGGCAGGGAGGACAGGGTGCAGGAGCCTGAGCAGGGCTTACAAATTTGGCACTGATCCTTTGCTCTGTCATCTTCTCCAGCACGTCCTCAAGGTGCTGATGCCAGCTCGCTCCCCAGCCACGACCAGCTCAGTCACACCCCCCCGGACAAGGCAACACTCCCATGCTGTCACCAGACTAAAGGTTGTGTGAGGACAGGCACAGTGCTGGTGCGGACTCACCTAGGTGTCCCCAGCCCCTGACACGGGGCTTGGCACACACTAGCATTTGAAAAGCGTCTGCCAAGGGAAGGCACGGATGCTTCGGAGTGCTCAGAAATCAAGGTGAGTCGGCTGACTCTCGGTTAGGGACTCTGCTATGCCGTCCTTTGATTCTGCCGCACGCATGCATGCTAGCCCAAAGAAACGGCTCGAGGGAATGAGGGGAGGCGTTTTTGGTGGGGGTCATTCCACTCAATTGATTTGTTCCTCCAAAGGCAGGGGGACACAAGCACCTTGTCTCCCACCCACCCCTAGCTCATTCCTCTCTTCTGGCAGGAAAAATGTATTACAGCTCTGCCTCCTGATTCATATCACCTAAAGATCTGTGGCGCGAGGCTTTACCCACAGCTGAAAGGAATCCAAGGACACGTGGCGGGAGAATGTTCACGCCATTCCCTGTGCTCCGTGTGCAAGGGCCAGGCCTGGCCATGGCAGCAGTGATACAGATAATCCCAGCACAGAGAGTGCTCATGAAGCCTCTGTGTTGCCAAGGGGAACTGGGCTATCAAGTCTTCTTGCTCTTTGAACATGTAAATTTGGAGACTCTCCTAAGGTTTGACTGGGAGTTCTATCTACTGCTCAGCAGAATCCTTCAAGCTACCCTCCATGCAAGAGGAATTCCTGGCTGCGTGGCCTCCCTGGTTTAGTTTAAAGGATGATGCCCGAAAACACACACACCGAGAACTGGATTGCTAAGAATGCAAGACCAGGAAGAAAATCCAACTGAGAGACATTATCTAGCTGCCCGGGACCCAATCCCACATTGCCCCTTTCTTATCCCACTAGCTGAAGCAGGAACCCCCGAATCTCCTGTCGACTTTAGATTTTTTGGTGTTTCTACCAAGCAATTTCCTCTTTCAATTCTCTTGCTGATAGTAACAGGCTGAATAGCCCCAATCTCAAAAACTGTAATTTGAAATGCTCCCAAACCAAAAACTTCTAGAGTACATACATGATACCACAAGCAGAAAATTCCACACATGAAACTTAGTTTCATGCACAAAAGTTATTAAAAATACTGTGTAAAGTTACCTTCAGGCTAGATGACCCAGGAGCTGGGTTAGACCCTACTCTACCTGGGGGAATTCAGCCCTGATGGTTCCATCCTGCACGGGTTCCCATCACATCAGATACATGATGACAGCCGTGATCTAAGTCTGCTAGCTACTTTGGCCTCCATAGGTCTTTGTAGAAATGAAAGACAGGAGGAATTGGCTTCAATCGGTCTAGACACTGTCTCAAACCCTCGTCTGCATGTGAATCATACTTCGCTTTGAGAAGTGATAGGCTTCAGAAAAGTCCTAATTTTGCTTGATTCCAATGCCTTGACTATGTAGAACCACCTCTCCATTGTCCATCTGACTGTGAACAAGCAAAACCACATTAAGCTCTACACAATGGCCAATCAGAAATGGGTCTGCTTTGAGATAAGCAGACATGGCATAATTTTGGAAAGAATTTTCACCCTAAGGTACCATTGAATCTAATTTACTTTAAGCTTCATTTGACTTCCAAAGGTCAATCTATTTCCCTATATAAAAAATGTGTTCCCTTCAACACGGCAGCGCAAAACTACCCAGAATTAACCTTCTGTTGAGATGCTCCAGTGATCACTACTTGAGGTACAAAAATGGACATCACATATAAACAGAGTTGGGGAAGCACTAGCTTCCCTTGCAAAATGCAAAACGCAACCCTGGACTCTCGGGACTGAAAATGCGGAAGGAGGTTCTGTCTCCTGAGACCTACAGGGAAAAGGCAGCCGTTAATTATCAACAAATTCCCAAAAGGAAGATTACCCCTGGAAGACTATGAGGTCCACATGTCCTTCCCAAATAGATTTCTCTCTCTTTTCAACGCTGAAAGATTTTGATTGGATTGTATTAGGTTTTTGTGGGTTTCCTTGCTGGTAGTAGCAGGTTTGCTTCCGTTATAGGCTTAAAATCACCCTGTTTTGGTCCTTTCCTTACTACTCTTCAGTCTTAAGACACGAAAGCACAAATCAGAAGATACCCAAAGAGGAAGCAACACGCCTGCGAATTCCACACTAAGAACCAGGATCAGAAATCGCCGGCCCCTTGTTCCTTAGCGTAGATGGTCCTGCTGGGGGCGCCCTTCTAATCTGTCTCGCAATCCTGCTCTCCATTTCCCCAGAGCCTCATCACCGGCTCCAATTTACCTTCAGGTCATCAGGGATAAAGACTTTGCGGGCTTTCTTAATCATGGGCTGTGGCTTCAGTTCTTCCTCGGAGAACTTGCGTTTGCGAGGGTCAAACATTTCCTGGCCAGGGATGCTGGAGAGGGCGAGATCCGCCGGATCTGGCTCGTAGCCCACCGGGACCTGGATGGTGTCTGGATCGATAGGACTTGGTGTATTGCGGTTTGCTGGCAACAGCTGACCTGGAACAACACAGACGTTTCAGTTCATGAACTCCAGGGAGACCCATCAGACAGCTACTTGATCATGCGTCACCCTGAGTGGCAGGAGTCTTCAACTAACTTGTATAGGACTCTAACATCATTTTTTTACTAATCCTCACCATGTTTCCAAAAACACAGGCTGAGTACAACTACACTCTTGCCACACCAGGCAAAACAATGACATAAATGTTCACAAACTGGGGAGGTGGAAACTCAATTATAAACAGACACATTCATTCTTTCCTATGACATATTCATGGAGCACCAACCATGGGGCCAGGCACTCTGCAAGGCGCGACAGAACTTCATGATTTTTACTTTGTAGTGTTTTCCAGATGAGTGGGGGAGACAGACTACTCACTGGCCAAGGAGGAGGGAGTGCAGGGGCACTTCCAGAGTACAGGGGAAACAGTTACACGCCACAGAGGAGTCTCGGACATTTCATAGAGCTGCTTCTTGAGACAAACAGTAATTGGCCAAAAACAAAACAAAAAAAGGTGTTCTAGGTACCAAGACAAGACAGAGCTTTGCATTTCTGAGGAACCACAAATAGCCTTAGGTAGCAGGAGTACTGAATCAGAAGACAAGGTAGGTGGAAGGAGGAGAGGTTCAAGTGCAGGGGATGTGCCCACCAGGGAGGGGCAGTGGGGGATTATGAAGGGCCCTCAATGCCACTGAAGGAATCTGAGCAATGAAGGGACAGACAGCTGACTTTGGAAAGAAGACGCAGGCAGAGTGAGGAGGGCGTGTCTGCAGGCAGATCAGACGCAAGGCTGTGGTGATAAGCCGTGCGCGCGTACTAACAGTGGCAGTGGAGACTGGGGAAAAGGGGCTCAGTGCAAGAAATCTTTGACTAATTAAAAAGACATCATGGAGACAATCTTCAGGGTTCTTCAGGCCAAACCACTGAAACACACCAACAGTCACAGAACAATGGGTTGACTGTATTTCTGAGTATGTCTGACTTGTGAAGGTGAACTTAACAACAGACCGGATTGTTCATACGGGGAGCTCCGAATTTTATAATCACTTTGCATGCCCACAGAATGAACAAGAGGATACAGCTCCACTACGTTTGGCCATCTCCTCCTCTTCCTGGAGCCAAGGGTGGGCCAATGTGTCAAGTACCCCTTAGCTTGCATTACAACTTCCCCTCGGCTGAAGCACAAAGCCATCAGCTCAGATTCCAGCAACACTGTGAAACCGTGCTCGCGTGTTTTTGGTTTGATGGGGAACTTGCAAAATGAATGCTCGGGGTGACCTTTTAGGTCCCCACTCTGCTTTGAGCTCTCTGTGTCCTGCTTGCCAGGAGGAAGAGACGGGCCCCGAGGTGTTGGCAGAGGATGGAGATTTCTCATTAGCCAGGCAGCTGCAGCTCGAACTTCTAGGGACTGCGGAGTTCTGTACTGGATGGTGACAACCTGAGTTTGATCTTGTGCCTCTTGGCTTTGCCGCAGAAAATGAACCACACCTCAGTCGAATGGGGATTTTATTTTCCCTTTAGAAGCTCTCTTTGAATGTATTAGCAACACTACCCAAAGCCCCAGCAGTACAACCACCAGGAGCAGCAGCCTACGAGCGTGAGCACCTTCTGCCTCTTGAAGCACTTTGTAATGAAGACTTCCAGCCTCATGGCTCCAAGTTAAGACCTCAGTATCTGTTGGTTATGCTATAAATTACCTTAAGCTGCACACACTCACACACACGCATGCACACGCTCACACGCACTCACGCACGTACACACACACACGCTCACGCTCACACACACATGCACAGTCTTCTTCCACTAGACCACACAGTCTTTCCTGTTTGATCTACTTTGTCCCCACCCAATCCCTCACCATGGCTCAGACTTCAGAGTTCAGCTTCCACAAAGAACAGCTCTCACTCAGCGGTGGCCCTGGGAGACTGCTATTCAGCCAGGGGTGGCCCCCAACACCATTTCCCATCTAGGCAGGACTTGTTCTTTCTTCTCTAACCCTTTCCTGCAGAAGGAGCAGGGCCATCCTACCTGCAGAGGAGAGGAGAACTATGTGGCCCACAGCCCAGGTAAACGGTTACCCCAATGGTAAACAGTAAACGGCAGAGCCAGGCCCCCACTTCTCTCCAGAATCCTTCATGATATCTTATTATCTGTATTTTCTGGGAGTTAACTCTGCCGGACTTACAGTATTCTTACCCTTTATCCCAAAATGTCCCCAGTGTCACTGGGTAATAATGAGCCTTTATTATTTTCCCCTACCTTTTGTGGACTTTCAAAATTTTAATACAGGAATTCTCAGTATGAGAATGCAACGTTACATTAATCTTTTTTTAAAAAAGATTTATTTATTTATTTGAAAGGCAGAGCTACAGAGAGGCAGAGGCAGAGAGAGAGAGAGGTCTTCCATCTGCTGGTTCACTCCCCAAATTGGCGCAATGGCCGGAGCTGAGCTGATCCAAAGCCAGGAGCCAGGAGCTTCATCTGGGTCTTCCAAGCAGGTGCAGGGACCCAAGGACTTGAGCCATCTTCTACTGCTTTCCCAGGCCATACCAGAGCTGGATTGAAAGTAGAGCAGCCGGCCGGCGCCACGGCTCAATAGGCTAATCCTCCGCCTAGCGGCGCCGGCACACCGGGTTCTAGTCCCGGTCGGGGCACCGGATTCTGTCCCGGTTGCCCCTCTTCCAGGCCAGCCCTCTGCTGTGGCCAGGGAGTGCAGTGGAGGATGGCCCAGGTGCTTGGGCCCTGCACCCCATGGGAGACCAGGAAAAGCACCTGGCTCCTGGCTCCTGCCATCGGATCAGCGCGGTGCGCCGGCCGCAGCGCGCCGGCCGCGGCGGCCATTGGAGGGTGAACCAACGGCAAAAGGAAGACCTTTCTCTCTGTCTCTCTCTCTCACTGTCCACTCTGCCTGTCAAAAAAAAAAAAAAAAAAAAAAAAAAAAAAAAAAAAAAAAAGAAAGTAGAGCAGCCAGGACTCAAACCAGTACCCATATGAGATGCTGGCACTGCAGGCGGTAGCTTTACCTGCTACACCACAGCGCTGGCCCCAACATTCCATTTTGATTCTCAAAAATGTTCATTGCAAAATTTCAACAGAAATGGGCCAACAAAATGAAATTCCCGCTTGTGCTACTCTTTTCTCCCCTAGTCCTCCCAACAGCTGTTCCCAGAGGTGACTTCCCTCAACCATTTGGTGTGAACCTCTCATGGTTTTGTTTACACAGGGAGGTGAGTTGACCAAAATGGGATTAAACTACCCATACATCTTAAACTCCTTTTTAATTAGATCAATATGCCATATGCAAACAGAACTACTTTGTTCTTTTTAAAGGGTGAGAACTCTTCCAGGGTCTGGATGTATAATAATCTGTTTAACCACCACCCCAACTGATAGTCTTTCAGGTATATGCTTTTACAGAAGAGATCCCTAGAAGCAGGAACACTAATGCAGAAGTGTGTACATTTTATATTTCTAAGTGGACTGGACTGACAAATTGTGTTCCCAAAATGTCAGACTAATTATATTTGAAACAACATTTATGGGTGTGCACATTTCTCACAATTAAGTATTAAAATTTTTTTTTTTTTTTGACAGGCAGAGTAGACAGTGAGAGAGAGAGAGACAGAGAGAAAGGTCTTCCTTTTCCATTGGTTCACCTCCCAATGGCTGCTGTGGCTGGTGCACTGTGCTGATCTGAAGCCAGGAGCCAGGTGCTTCTCCTCGGTCTCCCATGCGGGTGCAGGAGCTCAAGCACTTGGGCCATCCTCCACTGCACTCCCTGGCCACAGCAGAGAGCTGGACTGGAAGAGGGGCAACCGGGACAGAATCCGGCGCCCCAACCGGGACCAGAACCCGGTGTTCCAGTGCTGCAGGCGGAGGATTAGCCTACTGAGCCGCGGCGCCGGCCAGTATTAATATTTTTTAAAGATTTATTTATTTATTTGAGAGGCAGAGTTACAGAGAGAGGGAGAGACAGAGAGAAGTCTTACATCTGCTGGTTCACTCTTCAAATGGCTGCAACAGCCGATGCTGCACCAATCTTAAGTCAGGAGCCAGGAGTTTTTTTTCCAGTCTCCGAAGGGGTCCAAGCACTTGAGTCACCCTCCACTGCTTTCCCAGGCCATCAGCAGAGAGCTGGATTGGAAGAGGATGGTCTGGGACATGAACCAGCACCCATAAGGGATGCTGGTGCTGCAGGTGGAGGCTTAGCCTCCTATGCCACAGCGCTGGCCCCCTAAGTATTAATTTTAAAAGCACTGCCAACCTGACAAGTGCAAATGTCACGGGCTTATGCTGCCTACCAAAAGAAATTCCAGGTGACTGCAGATTCTAATAAACTAGTTGTATTACAGAAAAGTATGCAGAAAGATATGAGTGGGGTTGTGTATATGTAAGATACAATTGGGGGATAAAGTATGAAAGATAGAATCCAAAAAACATAGAATCCTTGGGGCCGGCGCTGTGGTGCAGCAAGTAAAGCCGCTGCCAGTGGCACCGGCATCCCATATGGGCGCCGGTTTGAGTCTTGGCAGCTCCACTTCTGATCCAGCTCTCTGCTATGGCCTGGGAGAGCAGTAGAAGATGGTCCAAGTCCTTGGGCCCCTGCACCCTCTTGGGAGACCTGGAAGAAGCTCCTGGCTCCTGGCTTTGGATCAGCGCAGCTCCAGCTGTTGCAGCCATCTGGAGAGCGAACCAGCAGATGGAAGACATCTCTCTCTCTCTGCCTTTCCTTCTCTCTCTGTGTAACTATGCCTTTCAAATAAATAAATAAATCTTTTGAAAAAAAAACACAGAATCCATAAAAGGCAATATTTCAATATATTGCTACATTCAATATAAAAGCTCTAAGTAGTGAAAACTATAAATCAGGCTAGGACATGGACAACAGCATGGGAGAAAATAATTGTTATAAGTAAAACAGATGTAAAGATTAGGTCCATAGTTTAGCAAGGGTTTTTAAAAATGAATACACACACACACGCACACACATACAATT